AAGTCTTAAAATGGCCTGGTTTGAAGAGCCTGGTCTAAAGGACAGGGTCAGCATCTGAAGCAGGAAGTCCTCACCTGTGTCTGCTTGGTGTCTTCCAGACAGAATGTACTTCCTTTGGCAAAGGTGCCCACCTTGCTTCCATTCTCTCAGAACGGGAAATGAACTCCATATCTTCTTCTATGCTCACTGGCTATGAGGAGAATTTTAGAATCTGGATTGGACTGTACAAAATCCGGGGTGGGAAGGTGAGTAGAAGTTGTGAGTAGAAGAACCCTCGCTCAGTGGGGGAAGGGAGTGAGTGTTATATCTGAAGACAATGAAAAGCTCTGGGCGGGAGTTGACAAAAATAGGCCAATCTGTCAATGTATTTACATCATGGCACAGTTCTACCAGGACTTAACAACAGCATGATAGCAATCGTAGTAGGTGGGGGATTCCTTGGAGAGCCTTCAAAACATTCAGACCTTTTTGGTTCCTGAGCTTGTCTTCTGGGGTGTTGATTGTTACTGCCAACTTAGTGTCATGATGGTGGTGATGCTGTCTATCTCACATTTTTCTAACTTACCAAGAAGTAGGTTTAGGTCTACTTTGTCAAATGCCTTACTAAAGTCTAAGTATACTATGTCCACAGCATTTTGCTGCTTTACTTATTTAGTCACTTTGACAAAGAATGAAATGAGATTGATATGGCATGACCTGTTTTTAACAAACCCAGGCTGGTGTCCAGTTATAATTTTGTTTCTTAATGTTTGTAGATCTGTTTTCTTATTTTTCCAGTGTCTTCCCAGTTACTGATGCTAGGCTGATTGATCTGTAGTTTCCTGCATCTGTTTTTTCCCCTTTCTTGAAGATGGGAACCACATCAGCTTTTTTCCAATCTACTGGTACTTTCATGATGCTCCAGAATTCTTGAAAGATATGGTAGAATGGCTCTGAGTTACTCATAGGCCAACACCTTCAGAACTCTGGGATGTAATCCGTCAGGTCCCAGTGATTTAGATTAATCAAGATCAGAAAGGTGTTCTCTTACCATTTTCTTGCTTTTTAAATTTTTATTTGTAGTCTGTCTTTTATGGTTATGTTTTTGGTAAGTTGACCTATAATTTATTTTTGTGTGGACTGATGGAAGGAATGAGTTAAGTAGCTCTACTTTCTTTCTACTGTTACCTCCTTGCCTTCTTCTCTCTTTGGTGGACCGACTGTTATGTATATATTGAAAGAAACTTCTTTCATTATCTTTTACTTTTGTTGCAAGGCTTTGTTCATCTTGAGCATTTGCTTTCCCGAGTTTATCTTTGCAGATTCAGTCTATCTGCTGATTTTCTGTCTTATTTATTTATTTATTTATTTGTCAACTATGTATAAGATAACAGATATAGGTATAAACATGAGTACATGAAATGGATATGAATAAACGGGCATATTAGGCCAGGGACGATTTCACGAGTCCCTCTTTACATTTTTTTTTTATTGTGGTGGCCAGAACTGGATTCTAATTATTCTAAGTGTGGGCTCACTAGTGCAGTATTAAGCAATGCTATCACTTTTTCTGATCTTGAGCCTATCTTGTTTGTTTGTTTGTTTGTTTTGGCAGGTGAAGCACACTGCCAGCTTATACTTAAGCAGTTGTCTCCTAGGACACCTTGATTCCTCTTACATTTGACCCTTCGGCTGTTGAGAAATACAGTTGAGGCAAAATATTCTGATTTCTGCAAGATTCAGAAAAGCACTTGGAGATGACAACGCTGTTTCTTTCTCTCTCTACAGCTACGACTGAGATGGTTAGATGCATCCGTGGTGAGTTACACTCCTTGGGCACGAAACCAACCTTCCAACTGCAAAAGGAATCAAAAGTGTGTTGAACTATATGCCAACGGTAAGAAGATTTTTTGTTCTAGTATATTAGACTTCTCAAGCCTGTGTTCTCCAGATGTGTGAAAAAGCACAACCTTCCATTCCTTTACAGCCTCTATGCATAAAGTTAGAGACTGCATTCACACAACCCGTGGTCTTCACTTCTTTAGTTCATCATGGACTTCTAGTTGCCTTTTGGAAAAAAGCACAACTTTGAGACAACCATGATAATTGAGAATCTCCATTGACATTCACCTATCAAATCAATTACTGAAGACTTTCTGAAAAAGTTGGTGGCTTTTTAGAATTCCAACAGATTTCCGAATGGGCCAAAATGTGGAACAAAAGCTTACTGCCAAAGTGGGCTTGGA